GGCTGGATTCGAACCCGCCACCTTAGGTGTATGTGGCTGGCGCCTTAGCCACTTGAGCCACAGGCGGCGAGCCTAAAGTCCCTCTTATAATTGTGTCTTGCCCCCAAAAGACATGTCACACACTGAGACCCCCCACTCCCTCCCTCCTTCCCTCTCTCTGCTTTCTTTCCTCCACCCCGTCCTTCCTTTTCTCTCTCTCTGCTTTTCCCTTCCCCCACCCCCCCACCATGTGCTAGGTCATTAATTGTCTTCATATCAAAATTGGATACATAGGATTAATGCTTCTCCATTCTTATGATGCATTACTAAGAATTACATATTTCAATTCCATTCAGGTTAATACAAAGAATATAAAGTCTCCATCTTTTTTAATGGCTGAATAGTATTCCATGGTGTACATATACCACAGCTTGTTAATCCATTCCTGGATTGGTGGGCATTTAGGTTGTTTCCACATTTTGGCAATTGTAAATTGAGCTGCCATGAACAGTCTAGTGCAAGTGTCCTTATGGTAAAAGGATTTTTTCCTTTTATTTTTAAATATGCTTTTTGCCCATTTGTATGTCTTTTTAATTCATGTCGTTTTCCCACATTCTAGGATTATTGGGAGTGAGGGTGTTGTTTAATTGTGTGAGTTCCTGGTAAATTCTGGATTTGCCAATATTATGTCCCTTTCTGCAGGTTGTCTATTGAATATTTATTTTGCTGTAAAGAAACTTTTAAAGTCCCATGTGACTATTTTTGAACGTGGGCAGTCTTGTTCCAGTTCTTTCTTAGAGGGAACACTTTCATCTTCTTCCCGTTCAGTATGATGCTGGGTCTGAGTCTGTCACATAAGACCTTTATCATTTTGAGGTGTGCTTTCTTCTATGCCTAGTTTGCTGGGAGGTTTTATCATGAAAAGATGCTGAATTTTGTTAAATCCTTTTTCTACATGTGCTGTGATGATCATATTGGTTTTTGTTCTTGATTCTGTTTATGTGATATATCACATTTGATTTGCTTATGTTGAACCATTTTTTCATTGCTGGTATAAAACCCACTTGATCATGGTATATTATCCTCTGGATGTGTTGTATTTTGTTCAGTTCCTAGTTTTTGTTTTGAGAATTTTGGGGTCTGTGGTCATCAGGGTTATTGATTGGTAGTTTTCTTTTATTACCATGTCCTATTTGGGGTATCAAAGTGAAACTGACATCATAAAGTGAGTTATGGGGAATTCCCTTCTCCCCAGTATTTTGGAACAGTTTTGGGCGAATCAGTAGCAGTTATTCTTTGTACATTTGGTAGAAGTTGGTTGTAAATATATATGATCCTGAGCTTGCTTTTGCAAAGGGTGTGGATGTTTTCTTACTGATTCAATCTCACTGCTCATTATTGGTCTGTTCATGATTTCTGTTTCCTCCTGCTTCAATCTTGAAAGATCATGTAGTCCTAGAAATTCATCCATTTCCTCTAGGTTTGCTAGTTTGTTCATAAGAGACTCTGGCCTCTTATTTCTGTGGTTTCAGGTGTAATGTCTACTTTTTCCCTTCTGATTGTGTTTATTTGGTTTTCCTGTGATTATTCTAGTTAGCAGTTTATCAGGTCAACCTTGTGAGAAGCCAACTTTTCATTTCATTGATCCTTTGTAGTTTCCTTTTGGTCTCTTTAATTTCATTCTTCTATGATCTTTGTTATTTCTTTTCTCCTACTAACTTCAAGTTTGGTCTATTCTTGCTTTTCTGATTCCTTGAGGTGTGACGTTAAATTGTTAACTAATGATCTTTCT